TCACGGGTAAGTCACGGGTAAGTTAATATCTCGGGAAGCTCGGAGTCTAGGAGGCTGAAGTTTTACGGCAATGACCCCCTCTCCGCCCTCAACCTTGCCCATTCAAATTCAGCCTTCTCTTACCCGCAGGCAACACGTACGGCCCCGTGAAAGTTAACCTTGCCCATTCAAATTCAGCCTTCCCTTACCCGCGGGTAACACGTGCGGCCCCGTGAAACATATTCACGGGTAAGTTAATATCTCCGGGCCTCGGAGTCTAGGAGGCTGAAATTTAAGAATAATGACCCCCTGCCCACGCTCAACCTTGCCCATTCAAATTTGGCGTTCTCGGACTCTCTGTTACCACCTACGGCCTCGTGAAAATTTTGGCACGGAAAGATATTCACCTAAGGCTTCGAATTCAGCTTTCATACGCTGGTGCGTGAAATTTTTAACTGTTTTCCAATGTTTGAACTATTTGGCATAGACTAAAGTACAAAGCAGTGAAAATCATTAACAGGCAATCGTTCGGTGGACTGAACTGCACAAAACGCATGATCGCACCGGCTAGTCTGGTGCGCGTTGCCATTTATTTTGTCTGAGTACCAGGAGTAGTTGGTATCGCGTAGCCTGGATTACAGTCCGTGCAGCTGGGCCGGCAATTTCATCGGTTACTTTGACCTAAGTTGGATCGCCTAGTGGCCATCCACACTATCCATTTGGTCTTCTGAAAGAATCATGGATTCTTCTCACGAAAAGCATTTGGCAGGGTTTTTTGACCGTTTCGAGATGTCACTGGTGTGTGTGTGTGTGTGTATGATTTGAATATTACTAGTCCATCTCGACCGCTGCCCTTTCCAAACCCCGATGAGATACCTCGTCGACTGAGGGCACCCACTCCTTACAGACCAATAAACAGAAAGGCGTTCAGGTGGGATGCACGATTTCGTAGCGTTCCAATCGATTCTGGACGGGTTTTTTGCCGGAAGAAGCTTGTGGTGGGTAATTTTGGTCGGGGGTACGGGAAGTTTACCCTTAGTGGGTGGTACGGGGAGGTGGAGTATCTCTTCTAATAGTTCTGGGAATTATATATGGTGGGATGGCACTGAGTAATG